CTTCACAAGGATGTAGTGACCATCTTTGTCTCTCTTAATTAGTTTTGGTTTGAAATCTACTTTGTCTGCAAATAAGATTGCTACCTCTGCTTTTTGTTGGGTTCCTGTGGCATGGAGAACTGTTTTCTATTCTTTTACTTTCAGTCTATTAATTTCTTTTTGAATTAAGTTTCTTGTATACAGCATATTGTTGGATTTTGCTTCTTAATCTATTCTGTCAGTCTATTTCTTTTGATTGGTAAATTGAGACCATTAACATTGATAGTTATAGTTGATAGATATTGACTCATCCTTGTCATGATGTTTTATTATTGTTGGCTCTTTTATTTCTTTTTTTTCCCCCCTTTCCCTATAGTTTCTTACCTTGCCTGGTGGCTTCCCTGTGTTGGGCCTCATGGAGTTGCAACCTTCATTGTCTTTTTCTAGGATATTGCTTAGAATTGTTTGGAGTGCAGGTTTGGTGTTCATGAAATTTCTCAGGTGTTCTTTGTCATGGAAGTATCTTATTTCCCAATTGATTTTGAAAGATAATTTTGCAGGACACAACAGTCTTATTTTCTTTTAGGGCTTGAAATACTTCACTCTAGGTTCTCCTTGATTTGAGGGTTTGTGTTGAGAAATATGCCATGATTCTGATGGGCTTTCCTTTGCAGGTGATTTGTTTCTTTTCTCCAACTGCCTGTAGGATTTTGTTCTTCTGTTGGGTTTCTGGGATCTTGACTATTATATATCTAGGCGTAGTTTTTTTTGATCATAGCTAGTTGGAGTTCTATATGCCTCACTTATCTGTATGTCCAATTCTCCACCTCTGTCTGGGAAGCTTTCTATTATTACTTCCGTGAATGGTTTTTTATGTCATTTGTACTTTCTCCTGTCTTTTCGTGGACTACTATCAGTCTTATATTATTCTTCTTTGCATCGTCTAGCAGCTGCTGTGTTGATTTCTCATGGCCCCTTACTATTTTTAATAAATCTCTGTTTTCATGATCCTTAACCACAATCCTGTCTTCCATATCTGATATTTTATCTTCAGATTCCCTTAATCTGCTATGCATGCTTTCAACGGAGTTTTTAATCTCCTGAATATCTGCTGGAATCTGTTTCATGGATTCCATTTGTTTCCTATGTTGGGTGTTCATGATTTCTATTTCTTTCCTATGCTGGGCATTCATGGCTTCCATCATGGTCCTGAGCCCATCTGTTTTTTTATCTGTTTCTGTTCTAGAGCCTCTAATCATGTCTTTCACTCTGCTCACCATCTCTGTAGTTCTCTGGGAGATTATTTCTGTTTTGAATTTTTCTAGAGCCTCATTCATCTGTTTTGTTACTTCCTGTGCTATCAGTTCAGGGTGTCCAGGTGGTTGATTATCAGACTTTTCCACCTCGTTTCCCTCAGAATTTGCCTTTTGTGGGGTGGAAGTCTGAGTTTGTGCCTTGCTTAAATGTCTTCTCAATTTTGTTTTTGGTACTGTCCTTGGTTTAGTTTCTGGGTTGATACTTTGAAGTTGTTTATTGTAAGTATTTTTGTTGCTTGTATTTAGAACACTTATGGAATGACTGCCGCTCTGAGGTGTCTTCCAGATATACCTGGTCTTTAGATTTTGAGTCTCTAATTGCTCTGAGGCTATCTCATTTTCATTATACCAGGAAGGACAACGATTAGATCAATCACAACACCTTGGCCCAAGTGATATAATCAGCAACACAATAGCATCAAGCGCAGCTTAGAAAATGACAATTTGTGGTAGTTATTAATCTATCACCTTTAACTGTGTGAATTAAATCAAAATCAAGGACCAACCCAACATATGTTTATAGGGAATAAACTCTTCAATATGGCATCTTTACCCTTTGGAATGGGGAGTTAGAAGGAGTTGGGGAGGGAAGGATAGGTAGGTAGAAGGATAGGGGAAGGTTAGCAGTGAGGTCACAGGGCACAGGCAAGAGAAAGAAAGAGAAGAAAAGAAAAGTAAAGAAGAAATATGAATTAGGACCAGAACAGGAACACAAAGAGAGATGAAGAACAATGTGGGACAGCAAGGGAGCAAGGGAGAGAGAGAAAGAAAAGAGAAAAGAAAGAAAAAAGAGAAAAATAAAAATTTTAAAAGAGTAGAAAAAGAAGAAAAAAATTTAAAAATAAGAGCAAAAACAAATAGTGGTAATTTTGAAAATAATAAATAAAAGACAAAAATGAAGGGCCTCCTTCAGGGTATGTCTCTGCTGTCACAATAGACAACATGGGCAGCAGTGTGCAGATATAAGTCGATGAGTCTCAGCAAGCCAGTCACAGACCTGTGAGATTCAGACAGATTTCTGGCGGCAAGTCCCAAGTTTAGCTCCCTGTCCTCCTGCAGGGTTGAACTCTGCAAGGTTCTACTGCAGGCTCCAGCTGCCCTTCCCCTGAAGATAGTCCAGGTTCTGATAAGAGGTGATGATCCCTCCAACTTACCAAGTACAGCAGTCTGGTGTGCCTTTATTGCAGAGGTTCTCTTCGCTTTTTCAGTGGGCTTCAGTTTTTATCAGGGAGCCTGAGAGAGGCCCTCTCTCTGTTTTTCACTTCTGCAGCCCAGGACAATGGCCTTTATGTCTCCCTTTATGTGCCTCTGTAGTGTGGAACCAGGTAGCTGCACAGCCAAGAGGGCAGAGGCAGGGGTGGGGGGGCTGTTGTTGCAGGCTGGCAGCTGGTGGGCATGCCCGGGGGTGTCCTTACACTCTCCTGGATGCAAATGGGTGAGGTGAGCTGGACGGAGCAGGGCACAGCCACCCTCGACCATTCTGACCGCAAGGCCAAGCTGGCGGCTGGTGGGCGTGCCTGGCAGGGTCCTCACAGTCTTGTTTGGCTTTTTTAATGTCATGTGTGAAGTTTATCTACGAGGATGCATGCACCTGTATCTATCTTCATTACTGTCAAGATTAGTTTAAAGTGGCTGGCAGGGCTATGGCAGAAGCAAATACTAATTCTCTGTGTGTGTGTGTGGTACCGGGGACTGAACTCGGAACCATGCGCCCAGGCAGGTGGCAGAACCACTGAGCTAAATCCCTGGCCCCTGAAGCACATACTAATTCTGACCTCATAGAAGCAAATGCCATTTCCTCCAGGGAGATACACCCTGAAAACAGACCTCACTGGGACTGGGGATTTACTGTGCATGCTGCCCAGGGCCAAGCCGGCAAGATCACTAAACTGTACCCTCTTGTAGATGTTTATTTCTTCATCCCTGTATTATTCACTAATTCCCTATCTTTAGTACATACTGTTTTATAAATCTGTGCAGTTTTTATATGGTTCCAATTACAGATCAATTAAATATAATATATGGAGGGCCAGGGATTTAGCTCAGCAGCAGCACAGCACCTGCCTGGCAAGCAAGAGGTCCTGAGTTCGATCCCCAGTACCAAAACCAAAACAAAACATATATATAGAAAACATATGGAGGGCTGGGGATTTAGCTCAGTGGTTTCCTCGCCTGCTGTGCAAGCGCAAGGACTCGAGTTCAATCCCCGGTACCAAAAAAAAAACAAAACCATATGGAAAAGTACCTTGAAGAAAACAAATACACTCTCATTATGAACTCATTATACCATTGTAGTTCTTTGTTGTTGTTGCTATTTTTTTCTGTTTTTTCCAATAATGGGGATCCAGTCCCAGGGCACTCTACCACTGAACTACATCTCCAGCTCTTTTTATTTTTTATTTTGAGAAGTGTCCATTACTTTGCTCAAGCTAGCCTCAACCTTGCAATCCTCCTTTCTCAGCCTCCTGAGTATCTGGTATTAAAGTTCATGAGCCGCTGCACCTGGCTGCCCATTTGCTCTTGATGCAAGTCCTAAGGCAGAAATACTCAAAAGACTTAGGTCTTTCTGCTTTAACTTCTTTGGTCTTACTAGAATCTACATTACAAGAAAAAATAACTTCCACTTTTTCCTTCTCCAACCCAAGTATGAAGTTACACGGTAGACTGAAAATCAGTACACAAAAATGATTTCTTTTTATATGCCATCATTTAATAGATGTGTATTACAGCTCAGGACTATAACAAGATACTTATACATGCCATTGTCCATCTTTACAAAATTCTTATAAAATATCCCATTTGAATACAGCTAAGGATCCTGAGAGTCAGCAAGAGAAGCATTCTCAGATTATTAAACAAAAGCAGAGACAGATGCAGCTGCCCTATCCCCAAACCTGGTTCTCCCCATCTCCCACGCCCCTCTCCCAGCCTCTCTGGCACCTTTGTAAACATTTTAACCTTGGTACGAAAACTCCGGGGCAGGGCTACCACAGGCTACCTTTGAAGAGCCATCCACTGAAATCAAGAAGCCCATATCTGACCCTTCAGCTCTGCTAAAACACTCATATTTATTCTAGTTAAAAACAACACAAAACTTTGTCCTCATAAGTAACTTCCTTTCGTTTTCAATACATGTTGCTTTTATGTGAAAATCCTTAAAGTCAAGAGAATCAAAAGGATTACTTACTTATCATTCTTTCTCTTCTTTCAGAATCCGAGTCATTCACGTCACTAAAAATGAATAAAACAAAGGACAAAATTAATCAGCATCTCTCCAAATTACATATATTTTACCAACCACAGGAAATTATTTCACAAGAAAATAATGATTAAAAATTCAAAGGTCGGGGATCTAGCTCAGTGGTGCCACACCTGTCTCACAAGCCCAAGGTCCTGAGTTCGATCCCCAGTACAGTACCAAAAAAAAAATCAAATACTACTCCACATCAGTGTTTGAAAGACAAATAGGAAAGAAAAAGAGGAAAATACCATATTATTATATTAGTACTAAGTCTCATTAAACAATATATAAAATGCTACCTGTTTAGTTATTTTTAACAATACCAAGTTGTCTTTTAATCAATTTTTTTTTTTTTTTTTGGTACCAGGGATCAAACTGGGTCCTCGTGCTTGCACAGCAGGCGGCAAAACCACTGAACTAGATCCCTAGCCCTTTTAACGAATTTTTAAAAAAACTTTTATCTTCAACATTATTGTCTGAACACATTTTCTTGACTCTTCGGGGCCCCCTTTATAAAGAGCTTAGGTGCCACTACACTGCTCCCGCGTACCCTGTGGGCTCCGCGTGCTCCTCCTCCCTGAAGCCGCCAACGCCACCACTCCCCACAGTGGCCGAGTCCTGAACAGAGTCGACTTTCTGTACTGCACTCAATCGCACTGGATGGCACTGGAGCCTGAGAGCACTCTGCAGAGCTTTGGGCAGCAGCTCTGGAAACCCAGACTGCTGGGGCAGAGAGCGGGGGCACAGGTGTGCACTCCCGGCACAGGTGAGGCAGGGTCGCCACGCTGAGGGTGGAAGGAGCCTGTGAGGCCGCCCGCGAGGCCACAGTGCTAACCTAATGCATTGCTGAAGCGACTGGGTACTTTACCTCTTCAGTTGCCAAAGGTACTGGGACACCCACACAGGAAAGAGTTCGTGCTTTGAAACTCATCAGTGCCCAGAATTGCTGAATGAAATACAGCAAAACACTTGATTGTTACACAAGTATTTGTTCAGGTCAAGTTCATGTTCCTTTACATTGCTTATATTCTTCACTAAAGAACTTAGCCAGATTTTTATATAAAATGCTATTTCAGGTAGAAGTAGCACAAAAAGAAATAACTTATTTTCTCTTCCATTTCATTCAACTCTAAAATTTTAATTCATAGAAATCCATGTAATAGCATGACTTAAGAGAAAAAAATGTACATTATTATAAAAAAAATACATAACTCCCAACATCCTAGAAAAAAAAAAGAAAAAATGTACAAAGTCCTTATAAACAGAGATACTCATAGATGGGGTGGAGGAGTTGAGGGGGTGGGAGAAAAAGAAAGAAGATACATCATGTCCAGGTACAAATTCCCTGTGCTGAATGGGATCATTGTGTGTATCTAAAATGTACCGATAAAGTTAAAAAACGCAAAAGAAGAGATGCTCATGTTACCAAAAGCCTTCTTTCACATAACTTCCTTAATGTATAATTTTTGAACACTTCAACTTCATTTTACTTAGTTTTCTATTAAGTAATTTAACAAATATTAATGAAACATTAATGATTACATGCTGGGAACCACATTTAGGTAGGGGTTATAAAAGTAAGGTATAGGGCCGGGGATTTAGCTCAGTGGTTTCGCTGCATAAGCACAAGGACCCGAGTTCAATCCCCGGTACCCCCCCCAAAATAAAATAAAATAAAAACATACAAGTAAGGTATAATCCCTGAATTTAAGAAGAAAAGCATATGAGCAAATGAGTCAATGCTGTTTTAGAAGTGATGCATATATAGATATATATAACATAAAAACATAAGCAATTAGCTCTACCTAGATTAAGGGGGTTGAATGGGCTTCATATACAAAAGACACAGAAATTATTGAAATGATTAAGAGTGCAGTGAGCTCTCTCACTTAAGTTTCCCCAATTTAACACTCCAGGAGACTGAGACAGGAGGATATCTTCTGTTTTTTGTTGTTTTTTTTTTTTTTTTTTTGGTAAGCAGGATGATCTCAAGTTTGAGCTTAGTTTGGGCAACTTAGCCAATTAGCAAGACCCTTTCTCAAAATTAAAAAAATAAAACAAAAAGAGGCTGGGATGCAGCCCAGTGTGAAGGCCCTGAGTTCAATTCCCAGTATTGCAAAAAAATAAAAATAAAAATAAAAATAATTCAATTTATGGGCTGGGATGTAGCTTAGTGGTGGGGAACATTTGCCCAGCATGTTCAAGGCCCTGGGTTCAATCCTCAGTACAGACAAAAAAAAAAAAAAAAGCAATTTATGGCTTTTCCATACCTATAAGAACAATAGTTTCCTTTACAATTAGTATCATCTATATCATTTATACCAATAATCACTGTGCTTCTTTTTCTTTTTTTTGGTACCGGGGATCAAACTCGGGAGCTTGCGCTTGCGAGGCAGGCGGCGGCACCAGAGCTAAATCCCCGGCCCACTGTGCTTCTTTTGCAAACAACACTACTGTAATTCCCGTTTCCCACCCTGAGAACAAGAGCTTCCGCTCCATAGCTGCACAGTGAGTGGTGAGAGACTGAGACCTCTCGCCCGGAGCCCTTCCCTCAGCCCTCCGTGGAGTCCGCCGAGGTCACGCTCCAAACACAGGGCCGACCTGGAGGGGTGCCACTGCCCGCCCACCGGTGAGCACAGCAGGAGGGAACTGCCCTGTGCAGGGGCAGCCAGGGAGGGGTCCGAAGCCTCCTCTGCCACACCCCGCTCCCTGGTCCTCCAGGGACTTTCTAAAGTGACAGAACTGTTCTAAGACTGAATTGTGAAACTGAACAAATCCGTTAATTATTTTAATTGTACACCTAAACAGATGGGATTTTGTGATAAGCAAAGTATACATCCATAAATATGTCAAAGAAAACTGAATTAAGAAACAAAAATGCCACAAGTTAATACCTGAGGGATGCTGAGCTCCAGTACCTGGCTTTTGGTCGTCTCACTGAGCTGGCAGAATGTCACTGTAAAGTCAGCTTTCATCTCTCCCATGAGCTAAGGAAAGAAACTGCATTTGGCAATCGAAATTCTTCAAAAATATAGTGAAAAGTAATTCAGATGTTAATCGGGAAAAAATAACATTATGAACTCACATGTAAGAGAAATGCAATTAATTCATCATCATCCTCTTCTCCAAGTAATCCTCACTTGGCTTTGAACAATTTTCTAAATCTAAAAGGAGAAATATCAATTCAATTTGTTATTAAAATTCTCAGTATTTTAAGCATTATTCTTAAACCAATCATGATGCTTTAACATCTGTATTAGAAAATGACAAACCTTGTATAATAAAGATCAAGGAACCCACCAAGAATCTGAGCAGCAGTAGGGAATAAAATGAAAAGCCAGTTACACTTTAATTTAAAATTAAGATTCTAAAATATTTTATAAGAATGAAGAGAACTTTCCATCTTAACATAGAGACTACATGGTACTAATTCTAGCTTAGTGGTTTCATTGCATCTTTGGGAAAATGACCACTATTAAATATACTGTCTTAGAGATTTAGGAACAGTGCACATGAAATCATATCACTGCTGTGAACTGCAGCAGACCTCCCTGCCCAGCACTAGCGGGCTACACGTGCACCCGCTTCTTGCTTTCCATAATTCGCCTATGTTGTTTTATATCAGGAGTCAGACCAGAGCCCTACATGGCTCAAATGGGGATGAAAGACGGCAGACTGGTGAGGAGAGCCCCTCCCTCAACGGCTGCCATGGAAACCTAGGCCCTGGTCTGTGAAGTGCAGGGCTCTGCTGAGTTACATGCAGCTGAGGTCACCATGACCCCAATTAAAACCTGTTCCCCTGAATTATGGCTTCTCACTGACCCGATGGGTTGCTTACTAACTGTACCTGGTCCCAGTACCAGTTTGTTCTATCCTCACAAGATAAACAGTGCTTACTCCCTGACAGCCCTGCCTGGCACCATCATCCTAGGTGTTCGGCAGTGTTTCACTAGATGCCTTCAAAGCACACCCTGCTCCCTATTGCTTTCCATGCTTGTATTTAATAAATCCTGGGTGTGCTTGAGGGCCTTTGTCTTTGCTGCCATCATCAGCACTGATCAGGTTCCAAGGCCCAGCTTCTTCACTCTAAGTCTAGTTTCCATCTGTTCTTTAATTCACCTTGTGCTGTAGTGGCTCACAGGAGACCAGGACCCATAGCAGAGGTTCTGGCAACATCCCTTTCCCAGGTCCCCATAATGAACAACTAGCTTATAGGATAAATGCTGACATGTCTTTATAATACCAAGAGAGGCACAGAAATGTTTTTTGTATTATTTTTAAATCACCTTAGACCCTAAATAAAGCATTATAAATACCTCCATTTGATAACATTTTGTCTGAAAGCATAAAAAAGCAATGAAACATTTCATAAAATATAAAAATTAAGAGTTCTTAACTTTAAAATCATCTTTAACTAAATCATTTATCTCAGCATTCTGAAGTGCTTTTTAAGTGATACAAAACTTAACGCATCCTGAACCCCCGCACCCTTTCTGACCTCATTCCCCCTAACTCTTCCCCTGGCTTATTTGGCTACACAGTGGCCCTCCTATTCTCCTTAAATACACCTCTCCTCAGGGCCTTTGCTTCCCTTGCCTGCAGCAGAGCTCCCCCAGATAGCTGTCTTGTGTGGCTTTGTTCCCCCAAACTCCTTCAAGTCTTGGCATAAGTGCTAACCGGTCTTAAAACTCCAAGTCCCTCCTTCCCTGTACTCATTTTCCCCTGCTATACTTTCCATATCTACTGTGTAACTCGTTTGCCAACTTACTGTCTCTCCCTGTGGAAGTCAACACGAGGATGGCTTTTATTGTCTCATCTCTTCATTATCACCCCTTAGCACAGTACAGTGTTCAGGACATACTGAGTGATAAGACTCAGTAAATATTAGTTGAATGAGTGCAGGACAAAACAGATATAAAACTGACGAAAGACAAGGGCGGCAACAAGATTGCTTGATGAATGTCATTTATAAAACTTTGATTCTTAACTGTGTCTATATCATCAACTTTTAAACTAAGAAAACAGATAGGATGTAAAACTTTTATCTTTTTATACTAATATTTCTGCTACCTGGTGTTGACAATATCACTACATGCCTTGACTTCTACCTTGACCTTGGCTGGAAAGGGTGAATTTTAGATTTTGTGAGGAATGGGAAGAAAAGTGGGTGGGAAGGAAGATATATTTTAGTTTCTAGCAAATGTACTGGAGACACAGAAAGGATTAAAACGTGGTCCTTGGGGCCAGGGATTTAGCTCAGTGGTTTCACCACCTGCTGCACAAGCACAAGGACCCGAGTTCAATCCGAGTACCAAAAAAAAAAAAAAAAAAAAATGTGGTCCTTGTCCTCAAGGAGCTCAATGTCCAGTGGGCAGATCAATGAACACCTTAACATTTGCTGTGACTATGCGGATGCTCAAAATCTCACCTACACATATTCATATACATACATGATGCTCCAATCTGAGTAACTATAAACAATGCAAATTTGTCTAAATAGCATTTACTGTTTTGAAAAAACAAACATGTTCCCTTTTCTCTTTAGCCTAAATTCCAAATGAGATGGCATCAGCTGATACACAGAGATTAAAATTTCAGCTTTATTACTAAAAAAGCTACTCTGCCCCGGAATTAGCTCAGTGGCACCGTACCTGCCTCACAAGTGCAAGGTCCCAAGTTCAATACCCAGTACCACAAAAATAATAAATAATAAAAAAATATAAAAGCTACTCTGGAGATCAGGCCCTAGGTCTACAGATGAATTACTTAGTAATATGCTGCTGCTCACAATGAATCCACACTCTGAATAAAAAACGTAAAATAAAAATACCAATGGTTATGCAAAGATTTGAAGAATGTATCACCTACATATCCCATAGGAGTGAGTGAATACATGGAAAATGCTTGAGACAGAGACTTTAAAATGAAACAGTCAGCTGGGTGTGGTGGGGCACCCCTACAATCTCAGCACTTGGCAGGGTGAGGCAGGAGGATTGCTGTGAGTTCAAGGCCAGCTCACACAACATAGTGAGGCCCTGTCTCAAAACCCCAAAAAAAGAACAATGAAAAAAATAAATGGTAATAAGCAGGAGACTGACTACAGACAGACGGACAAGAGAATGCTAAAGCCATACATTCTTTAAACAGAAGAGATAAACTTCAAGGAAAAACTAAATCATCTGAAATTTAAAATTTTAATTTATCTTAGCAAAATGTAGCAGTTGGGTAAAATCCTTCGAAAGGTTTCAGCATATTGGCATGGAAGGTAAAGCAATGGGCAAACAGAAACTTACAATTTAAGATATTTTAGAATCTTGGAAAATATTTAGAAACTGTTTTATATGATATCTGAAAAATATCTGGGAATTTGTTTTCATATAGTGGTAGAGAAAGTAGAAGAAGAAAAAAGAAGATAACTAAGAGTGGAATAAATTATTTTCTTCATTAGAATTTCCAAATCAACAGGGGAGAAAAATGAATGCATATCTCAAACAGAAAAAGATAAGTGGGGAGGACTGTGAAACACTGATGAAGCACAATGTAAGGCAGAAGAAATAAAATAAAATAAAATACAATGACAAAAAACAAAATACATGAATAATTATTAGAGTAATGTGAACAGGCTACATACTTCAATTAGGATAAAACTATCACACTGAATAACAACCCAAACATATTTTAGAACAAAGTGAGAGAGAAAGGTAAAAAATAAAGTGAGACTGCAGGCAAACCCAACCTAAAGAAAAAGAAACATGAATAGCAGGGTTAATTTCCAATAAATTGAAGTTAAACATGAAAAGTATTTGTCAGAATTTAAAAAGTCATTGTTAGGATAAAAGGTACTTCTGGAAGAAAATATAAAAAATACGTGCCTACCAAGAATACAATACTACATGCAAATTTCAAATAATTTTTTAAAAATCTGATTTAATACAATTAAAATAGAAGCTTTTAATATGAACCTCTTAAGAGTCAACTTATTTAAGAGATAAAAAATTGGGTCATAAAGGATACACTTTTTTTATATATTAAAACTTCTGGGGCTTGCCGGGGATTTAGCTCAGTGGTTCTGCTGCTTGCCTCATAAGCACAAGGACCTGAGTTCGATCCCCAGTACCCCCCCAAAAAAAAAAAACTTCTGGGTCTGGGGATTTAACTCAGTGGTTCTGGCACCTGCCTTGGAAGCACAAGGTCCGGAGTTCAATCCCTGGAACAAAAAAAAAAACCTTCTGACTACAGGATATATATTTTTGTATACAATCAAACATGTCCAAAAATATTTTAAGTTGAGCCACAAAGAAATCTTAACACATTTCAGATAAAGCTTTTACCAAATACATTCTTTCATCACAAAAATATGGACAAAATTATTCCAAATAATCAGAAATTCAGAACATGATGATAAATAGCACTTTGGATCAAATAGGAAATCAACTGACTTCATAACATGGTAAAAAACTATAAATAAAAACTTTATTCACATAATTATGAAAGTCCAAATTGTATTAGAGAAAAATATAGCTTGAAATTATCTTTATTATTATTATTTTTTGGTACCGGGGATCGAACCCCGGCCCATATCTTTATTATTAAAAAGTAAATAAGATGGCTTTTTAAATGTTAGTGTCTTGCTTTTCAGAAAGTGGTCATTACACGAATATATTTTCACAGATTTAATTAGTACATTTAGGATTTACTCACAGCTGCTTTTGACTAGGATCCAGTAATAGGTTTAGAGTTTGTAACACCTTGTTTAAATTAAACATCCCAATATTGGCCTGATTTCCTATTTTGTATCTTCTTTCATCATCAGATGTGTTTGGTACAAAGTCTGTTTAAAATAAAATATTATAGCTTTACAGTAAGGACAATTATAATAAATAGCTTCTTTCTGTTTTAAGTTTATATTTAAACTTAATAAATGTATATTAGATAAAAATCTTTCCGATATTTATTACTTAACTGCAAAGAAATACGGACGCTTAGTACCCATCTACACTAAAAGCTCCTGAAATACTAACATTGCCCAATAAAGGAAGACATTTCTAGCCTACAAGAATTTCCATTTTCTCACACCTCTTCTGCTCTCTCAGTGCTAGAGTGGAGCCCAGGCCAGCGCTCTCCCCCGGGCTCCACCTCCAGCGCAGTCTCTGAGCTCCAGGCT